TCCCTTCTCACCGCAGGGTATGTGTGGGGGTGTGGGAGCTCATTCCGTAGAGAACGAGTGAAGCAGGGAGAGGGACGTAGACAGAGAATGTGCTAAACCTTCTGGAAAGGCTTCCAGAATCTCACACAGACCTCTCTTGCCTGCCCTCCTCCCCCAGCCTGGACTAACCAGTGGTGCCATCAGTGGGATCCCGGATCAGGCAGTCACTCAGCACCTCCTGTGCCCAGCACAGGCAGCAGAGGGCCCTGGAAGAGTGGAACTCAGGGTTTCACGCAGCGTTGTGCCCATGACTCGGTGAGTGTGTCTCTCACTGGTTGGATGAGACGATGAACACACTGATTAGGCACTTAAAATAGTGTAATGCCTTGAGAAGCAGAGGGGTAAGCACTTGGCTGATAGCCTTCCTGCCAGTTTGCTCCTCCCCTTGCACGGACCCATCTCTCTATTTCTTTATTGTTATTATTATTAGTAGTATTTCTCCATTGGATTGTGGGTCCCTAATCACATGGGCCATTCTGCTCAGTCGAGTCCACATCTACACAAGAACCACAGTGGGAAGTAGATGATCATGCAGAAATTCATCTCCTCTGGGAGGCCCCTGAATGACCAAGTCTCTGTAACTAAAGCAGAATCACCATGGGTGCTGGGAATAACTGTGTCAGCTACCTGCTGTGGGCGAGGGTTCCAGCAAAGCCAAGAAAGTCTGTCTTGGTCTAATTCTCACTCTGGGCATTGGGCATTTTCCTGCATCCTGGGTTCAGTTTGAGCCTGCAAGGCTCTTAGTGAGCGGAGCCTCTGCTCCCTGCATTCCACCCTTGGAGTGACGCATCCTAGAGGGAGGTTTTGGAGCCTTCTCTGCCCAGGACAGGACTCTTGCTTCCTAAAGTCCACAGTGGGCTTTGGCTGATGTCGGAGACTCTGAGGAGATGCCTATCCCTCTCTCCCCAACGGAAAATTGGAGAGCCCTGGAGCACAGGGCTCAGGCGGGCACATTGTGCAGGGGGCCGGTCTGTCCATGGACTTCCAATCAACTTCCTGCCTTCACTCCAAGAGTCAGAGTCCTTTTGGAAAAGGCATGTTTTTTCCCCCCACAAGTACCAGTATTTCTCACAAAGTTGATGCCAGGCAGGTTGGAAGGTGGTCTTCTCACCCACCGCTAGTTTCCCCCTCCCTTCTGCTCCCTGCTCCCCTCCTGGCTGCTGGCCTCCTCTCCCCTCACAGCCTCTGCCTCTCCTCTCTCTTCCTCCCTCCTCTTCCCCTGCCCCCTCTTCTGTCTCCAGAGCCCCATTGCTCCTGTGCCTTCCAGCAGGGCCTCAGCCTGGGGTAAAATTGAACAGTCCCTGCTTTTCCTTCCCTGAGATTTGCTGCCGACCTATAACCTGACCCTGGTTAAGGGACTTTCTGGCTTCTTCAGCTCAGTGACACCCACGGGAGCAAATGCTGTGGTCAGCATCACCTTCAGAGAGGTGACAGGGTGAAAGGTGAAGCAACTGCCTGGAGATGAAGGGCTTCCATGGCGCTGCAGGAGGGAGAAGGCGCCTTCCTGGAACGCTGGTGGGGAAGACAGTACTGGCTTGGGGGGCAGTGCCTCCACTGTACCAGTCCCTGCAGTCGGGGCCCCTGCCGTCTGGGCCCCTGCCCCCGCTGGAGAGTCGGTTCCTCAGCTCCCAGACGCACGGGGCACCGCAGGGTCGGCTAGAGGTCTGTGGGTGGGGCCAGGCTCAGTGTCCCTTATCCTGCTCCCATCCTCAGGAGATAGTTGGCCTACTCCAACAGGTGACGGGAAAGGACGGGAACACGGAGAGAACTTGCTGCCTTTCTCCTTCTGTTGTTCTCTTTACTGGGGGTGGGGAAGGGGAGGGAAATGGAGAGAGAGGTCGAGAGGGAAACAGAGATGGGCAGGAAGGAGGGAGAGAGGAAGAGAGGGCGAGAGGCACCGGGCTGTTTGCAGGCGCACCGGCAGGCGCGTCCAGGGTAGCGTAGGTGGCATAAATCGCCGGCACAGTCTCTCCAGACGACCACTTTAAATCTTAATTGGTTGCCTTTTAAATATCATTTAAGGGCCTGCTTCCCTGCCTCTCTCTCTAGTTAAGAAGGTGTCGTGTCAAACTCTATTACCTTGCTGGACGTCTCTTCCTTAAGTTAAAAAAAGAAGGGGGGAGGTGGGAGGAAAGGAAGGAAAAAGAAAAAAAAATGGAACCATCAGCAGCGGTTTGAGGGTCGATAAAGCTTTTAGATTTTGAGACGGTTTCCGGGAGCCCATTTCCTGCGGCTAAGAGTTGTTAATGGAGCTTAAGGAATTATCTTAGATCCGCGCCCGCGCCGTATATTTCCCGCGCCTGTTCCCCTGTCGGCTCTGGATCTGCTGCTGTCAGACTCGCTTAATGAAAAGTAACGCGCCGCTGATTGCAGTTTTATTTGGGCTCTATGTAAAGAGCGCCGTTAATTTAGCACCCTCCTCGGTGTGTTTGAATTCGCCACGCCTGAGTGGCTGAGCGTCGGTCCCCAGCTCCTTCCCTGACAGCCGCCCCGGGAGCGCAGTGGGGCCCCGCCCGGGGACCGCGACCTTTCTGCGCAGCATCCTCTCCCGTTCACCGCCCGCCCCCGCCCCACTTCGGGCCTTCCGCGCCTGTCCCCCAGCCCCCAGCCCCGCGAAGATCGGCCTGAGCGCCGGTAAGGTGCACCCGTGAAACCTTCCACAATGCTCCCCCAAACGTCGGGGTGTGGGGCGAAGTGACAGTCCCAGCTTCGGGAGTCCTTTCGGGTTAGTCGCCCCGGGATGTGGCCGAACCCCACCTCCCCCTGTGATGTCTTTATTTCACAGAATTGTGCAGTTTAATCAAAGAATCCTCTTTCGGCCAGCCAGTTCCACCGAGGACTGGGTGACCCTGCGGTGTGGGATCGCCCTGGCCTGGGTCTCGGGGGCAGGCGGGGTCCCCAGGCACCAAGGTACTGGAGCTCCAGGTCCTAGGGCCACAGGCCTGGGCGACCGCGCGGGGAGGGGTCGGCCGCCGCGCCCACCGACCTGCCCCCCAAGCCAGCCCTGGAAGTCCTGCGCCCCCGCAGCCCGCAGCCCACAGCCCCGGGCCAGGCGGGTGCAGCCTGCTACACCCGCATCCTCGTCCACAGCCGCGGTCCTCCTCGCCGAGCTGCCGCGTCCTCGAAGCCTTGTTTTCGAGGAAAATGCCTGGCTTTGTCTCGGGCTGGAGTGGGGGCGCTCGGGCATCCACATTAAAATTCCTGGAGCCCCAGTCTCGGCCGCAGCGTCTCCCCTGAGACTCCACTTTCGCTATTACTGTCAAGTACCCTTGACTCTTTATTTTTGCCCTTTTATCTATTACAACTAATTCGAGTTCTTTTGCCCTTTTCAGTCTAAGACGTGGCTTTCTGCAAAGCCTCCCCCTGCCAGCGGGCTCTCGGAGCGCCGAGCCTTTAGAAATTGAGGGGTTTACTGTCAAAATGAAAATTTCACTTCAAATTATCTTGGCTGATGCTCGCTCGCCAGGCCGGGGGCTCTCGCCGCAGCCTTTTGACAGGCACATCAGCGGCGAGCTTCCGAATCTGGATAATATCATCCAAGAGAGCGAAAGTCAATACGGTGACAGCGCTCGGGCGGATACAATCCAATTACTGCGCGCGGCCGGGGCAGCCTCAGCGCGCAGTGAGTCCCCACGCAGGGAACCGGGACTGCTCCCTCCGCTGAAGGTCTGAGCTTCCAGATCCCACCATTCAGAGTTGGGGGTCTGGCTGACGTCCGGCCATCAAGGTCTCACCACTCAGGGTGCCCCGGCAGCCCGAGGGACCAGTTTCTGGCCACGAGGTTTCCCTCCCTCGGATACGTAAATTCTCCCCACGGTCAGGCCCTACCGGCTGGTCAGGCCAGATTTCCAGCGCCCCTGGCCCCTACCCCACAGGGCCCTGGGTCAGCCCCACCCAGCTCCTGGTAGAAAAAAGCCCAGGCCTGGCTTGTCCCTCAAAAGCTGCCTGCGGCCCCCGGAGAGGACCCGCTTCTCCAGCTGGTGTCTCCGTGGTTGCCAATCTGTCGTTGTCCCGGACAGGGGCGGCCATCGACCCAGCGCTGCACCTAAGAGCCTCTCCACCCTTGCAGGCTCTCTGGTTTGCGGATCCGTCTTTCGTCGAGACTGGTGGAATGAGGCCCAGCAGGGCCTTAAGCAGAGGGCTCGCAGGCCAGGGGCCAGCCCCAGTCCAGTGCTCACTGCGCTCTAATGACCCCTCCCAGGCGCGGAGATAGACGCCTGTGGGGGTGGGGGTGGGGTGGGGTGGAGGAACCCGGTTTCTGAAGGAAGCCAGGGGTCTGAACCTCCCAAGACCCTTGCAGAGGTGAGGCAAGGCCCATGTCCTCCCACCCCAAATTACTTTTCGGATTCTGTCCCTAATTCCTACCTAGCACAGAGTCAGCTCTGCTGCCGACAGTGCGCTTCTCCCCAGCTAGCAGTGGGAGATGTTTGCCGCCAAGGCCCCAGGCCCCAGGAGGAAGGGGAGGCTGGATTAGGAGCCTGGTGGGGCCCTGAAAGGCCACAGGCTCCCTCAGAGCACAGTACAAGGCCCCGCAGCATGAAGTTCTCAGGGCTGTGAAGTCCTGGCTCCTTCCCCACCAATGCACAGTCCCAGGGAATTTAGAAAGTTTAAAAGTTATTAAAATTAACCTAGCCAAAGAAACTCCCATTGACTCAAAGTTCTGGAGTCTGGTAATGGGGGACAGTTTAACAGTTTTGGGTCTCTCATCCACTTCTGTCAGGGGGTTCAACAGAATCCTGAAAGTTTACTGCCCCTCCCCCCGTTTTCATTTCCTTTTCTTCCTTTTTTTTTAAAAAAATAGCCTTACCAAACCCTGTCCTAGGTTCTGCAGGCAAATTCCTGGGGACTCCCGGGCCAGTACCCTTCCCCGCTCCTCCCTGTGGGGATCAGACCCTTTTCTCCGACAAGTTCTCAAGTGTCTACCTCAATGTGTTCACTTTGCAATGCAAACATCACTCGGTTTTATTGGTTTTGTTGTATCAGCCTCTGAAGCAGGCAATCACTGGTGTGAACATACATTTAAAAAACATAACTTTGTCGAGTCAAGAGTGTGCAATAGTGTAAATTCAGGGGAGTGCTCCGGGTGAGATGTGCCGAGGATGAAGCCAGAAGGTCAACAGGCTGAGGGGTCCTCAGAATGAACAGGGGCATGCCTTGCACCCAGAAGACAGCGACACAAATAAAGCCTGGAACCACAATGTCTTCTCCTTGTAAACTTTTGGACGTAAACTTTATGCTTCAGGGAGGCTGCCTTCTGCTTTGGGCGCAGCCTAATCCCACGGGCTCCTGAATTTGGGAATGACCAGGGTGGTCGGTGGACCTGGCGCGGGCCGTAGCCAGGGGGTTTGTCCGTGGTTCCGGGAGACCGAGTTCAGACCCTCCCTCTAGGGTGGGCGAGTGGCCTGAGCTTCGCTGCGCGTTCGCCTAGCTTTGGAAACTCGTTAGAAAAGGAGTCTTGGACCTGCGAGCTGCAGCCTGAGCACCGTTTCCTCCCGGGCCCCGGGATCCCGCCCAGTTAAGCGCAGAAGGGCTTCCCGCTGGCCTTGGGCAAAGCCAGAAGCTCCTTCGCAGTGCCGGCCGCAGGGGCGTCGTGGGTCGCGGCGGGCGGGAAGGTGCGAGCCAGGGGCGACGTCAGCACGTTGGCGCCCGCCCCTAGCGAGCGGCCCAGGGGCCCCGGGTCCAGGAGGGCACCCTTGGCGGTGGCCCAGGCCTGGTTCAAAGTGCTGTGCCTGAGGACAGGGTCGTGGAAGACTCCATCCACCCAGTTTCTGAGACTGGTTACCGGGGAGTCCTGGTGCCTGTCTAGGGCACCGGCGGCGGCCGGGGCCGCAGGCGAGGAGGAGGGGGGCGCCAATGAGACGGCTGCAGAGGCAGTAGGGCCTTGGCGCTTGAGCATGCACGAAGGAAACTCAGTCTGGCTCAGGTTGGTGGCGGCGGCTGCGGTAGCTGTGTGTGCCAAGGACCAGATGCGCGGCTTGACCTCGAGGCCCGCAGTCGTCCCAGCCTGCACAAAGCCCAGCTTGGCCTCGCAGGCTTGCGGGCCGCCCCCCGCACCTGGCTGCTGCTCTGGCCCAGCTACCACGCTTCGGAGGCAGCTCCGGGCCCTCTCCAGGTCCTGGTCCAGGGCAGCCCGGCTATCGGCAGCCAGGGACATCCGGTGGGCGCTTGAGGCCTCTTTTCCAGGGGCATTGGGGCCATCAGGGGCAGGGGGGATGCGTTCTAGGCCACCATCCAGGGGCTGGAAGGGAGGTTTCAGCTCACAGTCTGGGGGCTCCGCATCCAGTGGGTCGAAGTCCTCCAAGTCGCTGAGCTCAAGATCCTTCTCTTCTTTGCCCAGGGGCTCTGCCCAGGAGAGAAAGAGTAGCCAGTGGAGGGAGAGAGAGTAGTGGGTCAACCAGACCCCTACCTCTTTTTCCTTCCTAACTCCGTGTCCACGGTTATGGGGCCTGGCACCTTTCTTCCTACTCCTGATCTTTAGAGGCTTCCAGGCCCCAAACTGGCAACACCTGTGAGTGGATTTCAGCCTCAGACCAGTGGTGGAGGGGGTGGGTGTCTGGTGTTTTAAACATAATGTTGGATTTCTTGGCTTACCACCACAGTTTCCCCCACACTTCCGCCCAGAGAGCCCCGCTTGGGTTAGTGCATTCCTTTGCTGCCCAGGGCCCCAAGGGTGCAATGCCTTTAGCAATTCTAGAACCCACAGAGAAGGCTCAGGGAATGCGGACCTTAAACTCCAGCCCCAGCATCACCAACTCAACCCACCTTCATTCTTGGTGCTCTTGACGGGCTCTTCTCGGGCATCCTCCTCAGCCCCCTCTTCCTCCTCGCCCTCCCCGTAGGGCCGCTTCTCATCAGCACACTTGTTCCTGGGTGGCCACGTCATCTTGTTCTCCTTCTTGAGGCGCCGGCGGGCATTGGCGAACCACGTGGAGACCTGCGTGAGGGTCATCTTGGTGATGATGGCCAGCATGATCTTCTCCCCCTTGGTGGGGTAGGGGTTCTTGCGGTGCTCCTGCAGCCAGGCCTTGAGCGTGCTGGTGGTCTCGCGAGTGGCGTTTTTGCGCCGCGTGCCGCTGTCCATGGTACCGTATCTGGAGACAGGTGGGTAATGGGGCACCAGGGCAAGGCACATGTACGCTTTCAGTTCCCGTTGTGGGGCGGAGGGGGGGGTTGTTTATGGTTAAGACCTGAGCTGCAGCCTGGTCCTGGCTCAGGCTGCTGCCCATGGGGGCAGCTGTTTCTGGCCCAAGGGCAACAAGAATGTTTATATTTGCTATAAGAAACCTGCGTCCCTTCCTCAGCCAGAGAGGCCAGAGGAGGTGCATGGGCACAAGGCCCAGCCAGGTGTCTGTCACTCTATACAGACGGATATGTCTTCGGGCGAGTCCCTTTACCTAGCCTCTCACCTACCCCTTGGATCCCCAAACCGGGAAAGCATGTCTCAGAGCTGCGAGCCAGACTATGGAACATCCAGAAGCAGAAGTGGTCGTCAGCGCCAGCAGAGGAAAGTGCCCACAGGGTCTACACGGCCTTTCTGTGGTTAAATATGTAACGGTGGCCCCTCGGAAGACAGGGCATGCGCCCTGCGAGCGCACGAGGACTTCCCCGACTCGGGTTCCCACCGTAGGGGCGGTGGGCGGGGCCCGGGCACACCACGCGCGCGCTGCACTTGTTGTGGTGGAGGGAGGCATCGGATGCCTGGGCAGCGAGACGAGACTCCCTCAAACCGCAGCACAGTGAGGACTTTGGGGGAGTCTAGAGAGCTGGGAGACAGTGGTGGTGTGCAGACTGGAGACACTTTTAACCCTGGCTGCTCGGGCTCGCCAGGTGGCGGGCTGGGGCCAAGGCCTGGTCAGCTCAGCAGGACCTTGAAGAGACGAACGCCCCTTGTCCTGCCTCCCAATCTTCCAGGGGGCGTTGTGGGGCTGCTCGGGGTGGGGGTGGGGGTGGGGGTAGCTGATCAGAGTGCAAGGGCCCCGGTGGCAGTGAAGAGCCCGGGGGCAGTGAAGAGGGTCGGTCCCTCACCTGTCATAAGCGTACTGGCCCAGTGCCGGCTCGTACGGGTAGTAGGCGGCGGCGGCGGCGGCGGCGGCGGGCGCGAGGCCCGCATGCGCAGATCCAGGGGCGTCCTTGGAGTCGAAGCTGTTCTGTGGGAACAGCAGCCTGGGGTCGCGGCTTCCAGGACACCGCCCAGCTCAAGCTCCTCCCCTAGGCCCCGGGTCCTCCGCGCTTCGCTCCCTTCCCCAGACTGTCCCTAGTGCCTAGGCAGCGAAGGAGCCCAAAGACTTGGAATGAGGAGACTGCTGGGGCTTGTTGCGGGAATGGGAAGTGAGTGTAGAGGACCCAGAGGCCGGAGGGTGAGATTGGAGGAAGGGAGGGGGCGGAGGCTGGGGGGCAACAGAAAAGAGGTGGGGTGAGGAGGGACGGGAAAGAACGAGGGGGGAGAAAGCGAAGAAATGGGGAGGAGCCAAGGGGACTTGTGGAGAGAGGGCAAGGGAGGGAGGGGAAAGGGAGCGTCAGTGGGGGTGCTGGGAGGAGAGGAGAGAGGCCGAAGGAGGCCAGGAGGAGGGAGGGGGCTGGGGAAGTGGGGGCGGAGGGGAGAGCCCGCTCCTACAGAGCCAGGAATCTGATTAGAAATTAATAGCCACCCGAGAACAATCAATGCATTAAATACTGCAGCGCACCTGCCAGGTCGTCCCAACAGGGGCGGGGTAGGGGTGGGGTGGGGGCGGAGCTGTGGAGCTCCCAGCGACCAGGCCAGGAGGTGCAAAGTTGAAGGCAGCGACTCCCACCCCCTACAGTCCTGGGTCCAGGGGCCTCACGCCTCTCCCTCGGGAGTTAGGGAAAGCGAAGTTAGCAAATCGAGGGGTAGGGGCGTGGCGTGGCGTGGCTGGGAAGGTTGGAGGTGCACCCTCTCCACCCTTACCAGCGAGTAGAAGGCGGAGGCCTCGGAGCCGTAGGTCACGTAGTTGCCGTAGCCCTGCGAGCCACCATAGGGCCCCCCATAGACACCCAGCGCCGCGGCCGAGTTGAGCTCGTGTCGCGCAGTGGCCAGCAGCCGGCTCTCGTAGACCGGGCAGTAAACTGGTGCTTGGGCCGAGGCGGCGGGCCCGGATTCCGCAAGCGTGCGGCCACCTGACTCGCAGCACGTGCTCAGAGAGTTGGTGGTCATCAGAAACTGGGGGAGAGAGGGGCCGCGAGGAAGGGTGGGCCACCGGCAAGGCTGGGGCCCTACTCCTCCATCCGCCCCTCGCCGCCCAGGAGGCCATGCCCCTTGTGCACTGGGTCTACCATCCACGCCCGACTGCACGCTCCTTCCCGTGGGAAGCCTGCGCCCAGGCCCCCCTCCAGCCACGTGGGTTCCAGCCAGACCTGCCCAGGAGTGTTCACACCCTCCCTGAGGGATCTCCAAAGCCACGCACTCCCGCACGTGCCACGTCTCTCCTGGGTCCTTCGGGGTACCGCAGCCTCAGAGCCCGGGGGTGAGGGTCAAACAAGGGGGGACTGGGGTCCCTGCCCGTCGGCATTTCTCAGCATCCCTGCCCTCCCCGGCGCTGGGCATAAGGGCCACGTGGCGCAGGCTCTGCTCGCTGGGAAGTGACATCGGATCGCTGGATTGCCCGCCAGCCAGCGTTTCCAGCCTCGCGTGGCCTCCTTACCTGCGGTGCCGAAGAGTAGGGGTATCCAAACTGCGGGTAGGACATGGCGAGCGCGGCCCGGGGCCGGCAGGCGGGCTGGTGGGGTCCTGTGCGCGGGGGCCGGCGCGGCGAGGCCACTGATCCGGGGCCGCCCGCTCCTAGGCGCTGGGGGGAACGAAGCAGGATAGCCGGTTAATTCACCCACACGCTCGGCAAACTTTTCTAATCGGGTAGGAGAGTCAGCTGCGGCGGCCGCCGGGATCCTTTTAGCTTCGCAATCCAGAGCCTCAAGGGGGCTTTGGGACCGACCGGCCTCACAGCGGCGACACAAATACATATTTTGCAAAAAGGAAAAAAAAACCAAAACCGGTCTCGCGAACCCGTCAAGTCAGATGTGCGCGGCTTTAAGCGGCGAAGGCTCTGACGTCAGCCCCCGCCTCTGCCCGGCCTGGCCGCAAGGGCGCGGGTCACTCGGCCGAGGTCCGGCCGGGCGGGGCGCGCGGAGGGTCCAATGCGCTTTAACAAATGAATTTCATCCGAGGAGTCAAGATCGTCCCAACGAACAGCGTTTCTCCTTAGTCACTGAGGACGGGAGGCACTTTTAATTAGAATTTAATTAATGAGCAGCTGCTCCTCCCCGCGCCACTGTAATCATTAGTCTCAATTACAAATAAGACGTATGAGGGACACACGAGTGAGTCTTCATGAAGATGTAATCAACAGTTAAAATTAGACCCGCGCGGGCTCAGGCGGCCTCGCGGCCTCGGCTCCCCGCGCCTCTCCAGGTGGAAGGGGAGCGACTCCGCCGGCCAGGCGTGTGGCGGCGCCGGCCCGACTATTGTTTAATCGGGTGTCGGCAACGCCTCCCACCAGCGTGAATCCCACTCCGGGATGGGGTTCCAGGGCCAGAGGCGGCAACAGCAGTCTCTGCATCTGGAGGTCAGAATGCCCTCAGGTGTGTGGGTCCTGGGGCCTTCCCCAGAGCCCGCCACTCCAGGGCTCGGGGGCCCAAGGGCTGCGCGGCTTGCCACACTTGGCCGCTGTGTCCCTGGGGAACGCACCCCGCAACCCACGCCCCCTTCTCCTGAGAGCTCCGGCTCAGTGCAGGACCCTGCTCTTCCTCCTCCTACTCCTCCCGCGGGGGCAGTCCCTCAGCCGCCCCCAACCCCCGCCCCTCGCGGCTAAACCCGGGACTGCCAAAAATCCTGTGCGCTCGGAAGAGCAGGTTTCCAGACTCAGCTTTGGGGCGCCTCCCGCTGCCCTCGCTCCTCCCGGCGACCTTCGGGGGTAGGCACGGGGGAGGGGCTTTGGGCGTCAGACGGAGGCATCCTTCCCAGCCCGTTTTGCACAGCTCCAAGACCCGGGCGCACCCGGCGGTCTGGGAAGGGGGCCGACTGCCCACCCCAGGACTTCCGCCGCCAGTCCGAGCCGCCGCGGGACCTTGCCCCAGTCCAAAGCGGAGGCCAGCAAGCAATGGCAAGGAGCGTCCGGGCCACTCCGAATTCGCTCCCCGACTTGTGTGCCCGCCACCCTCCGGGGCCCGGGCTCGCCCCCGCTGCTTTCGCCCCGCTAGGCCTCCAGCGCTCGGAGGGAGCCGCGCTCGGCGGCGCTGTGCAGACTTGCTGGGAGAGATTCCTGGGTTCAGACCTGTGAATTGCCCCAGGGTCACCCTCTAATTAATGATGACGTTCTCACTCTCTCCCCAGCTGCAAGCCTGGCTCCCAGAAACGAAATCTGCCCACTCTGACAGCTCGGTTGAAGGTGATTGATGACTATCTGGAGACCACAGTACGCATCATATAATATCTGCTGCGTAATTGCTTTAATTTACAGATGAAAATACGAGTTCTCGGATCGCATTGGACCGCAGCCGGCCACGTCCGAGCTGCTTGCAAGGGAAAGCCATCGGAAATAATGAATAGCCGCTCCATGCAAATTATTCAGACACTTTAGCGTCTGTAGCCGGGAGAGATATATAAAGAACACGAGTCAAATGACATTAATAATTGTTGTTTGAATTCTGTATTGATTTCGCGGCGGCCGTGTTTATTTCTTTCTCACCTGAATTGCTAATATCACCTTCCTGTAAATAATAAGAAACTAGCCACCGGGGCTTCTTGGCAGAAATGAATCTCTCAATCTCTCTCCGTCTTCCTCCTCCGCTCCTCCCTTCCCCCACCGTCCCTCCTCCCAACTCCTTCCAGTTTTCTGGCTTCCGCTCAGGTTTTTCCAGAACGTCCTCCTACTTCCCATTATTTATTGTTTACAAACAACTCGTTCTCTCCCAGTAAAGAGGCCTGGCTGGCCGACGGAGGGGTGCCAGGCCGGAGTGGCTGAGGGCTCAGGGAGCAGGAATCCCGACGCAAGGCTGGCGTTCAGCATCCTTTCCTCACCCCAGCCCCGTGGCCCCAGCCTGGCGACTGTGACAGCTCATTGGACTGCGGAGTAAGCCACCAAGTCTGGCGGCGGCGTATCCGGGCCTGACAGCCGCGGTCCCTTCCCCCAGACTCCTCCGCCACAGCTCTCCGAAAACCGCGGCGCCCCTGAACACTGGGCTATTCGTCTCCCGAGCTACGTGCTCACTCTGGGAGCCTGGCAGGCGCAGACCCTCCTTGGGGATCTGGGGGAGGGCTTTCAGGAGCCTCCTCTGGTCGTCACTGCACTGTTTTGATTTCCTTTCCAGAATGAGCGTGTAAACAGACACTCCCAGCCCCACTGGCCTGCCCTTTTCTCCGGGGCGACCATCTCCCCCATCCTGAAACCCAGCTTCCTGCCTCTACTTTCCCAGGCGGCTGAGCACTGATTCTCTGCTTTCTGCCCGGCCCAGGCCCCGCCACCCTGTTTGGGGAAGCTTGGGGCTGCTCGCCGCGCACCCAGGTCCTGCGAACCAATCCCGGAGGCTGGGTCAGCGCGGTCTGTCCCCAGACCAACGCTGCACGACGACTCCCCGCTGACAGCCTGCTTCTAGATGAGGCCCGCCTGTCCAGACTGGGCTACTTCCAGTGCCATCCTTGTCCCATAGATAATGCCGGAGTAACTGTCAAGTGCCCTTCACTAAAAGGCGAAGCCTGGAGATGAGGCACCTGGGTTTTCCTCCAAGAGCAGACTGAACAGGAACCTTAGCACTTCAGGTATCATCTGCTAAATGCACCCGCAGAGAGGAGAGTGCTAAGCCCATGTTCCTCAAGGGACCCCCGGTTCTAAATACACCCCTGAGCAGGACCCGCTGGAATCGCGCGGTTCCCCACGGTCCGGGTGAGGTGCCCCCCCCCGGCCTGCCGTATTCCAAAGCAGCCAAGGATGAGGTTGCCTGTAGACGGTTAGTCTCGAATGTTAGAGGCCTGTGGGTCGCTCTTGCCTGGGGATGTTGCAAGCCGTCGGAACCTTGGAGGGCCTCTGGGGAGCTAGGCCCCGCCCTGACCCTCTTCCGCTCGGGTGGGATTGTCATCAGCTGAGCCCAGGCATTCCTTGTTCCTGGAGTCGTCCCTGAGACCACCCAGTCCCTCCTGCACGGAGAGCGAGGGTGGGGTGGGATGGCGGGGGACTCTGTCCAGTCCAGTGAAGTTTAGCCCAGGAAGAGGACGGAGGCGGGAGCACGCAGCGCTAGGCAAAGGCCTTCTTTTCGGAGGCTTAGGGCCGAGGCTTGGGGCGCCTGTGCCCGTTCACTGTTCTCGGACACCCGGGCGGGGTGAGGGGCTAAGTGGCCTTCTGGTTGTTCGTGGCACCGCACTCTCGAACCCTGCCTGAGGTTGGCAGGTCACTCCTTCGCAGCCCGTCTTCTGGGGTCTCCCGCACAGCCAGTGGGGCGAGCTTCAGGCACACGCGTTGAATCATCCCCGAAACGCCCTCCATCCCAGCCGGCTCCCTCCAGCTCTCCTGCCGCGCCCCCACCGCGCCCCCGCTGGGCCCGCCCGAGAGGGGAAGGCGCGCAGTCCGAGTGTCCTGGCGCAGGCCCCGCTGCCTCCCTAGCCCCGCGCCGTCCCCCCGCACCCCGTTTTTTTGCAACTTGCAGCGAACGCGGCGGCCTCCAGAGACCCCACCGGCAGGCAGCAAACTTTGTGCTCTCCAGCGCAGGAGCGATCCTCGCAAAGTTTGTGCGGCCGAACCCACTCCCTACCTGCGCGGAGGACGCGCCCGCCCGCGCCGCTCAGGCGCTGGGCCCATGGGGAGCAGCGCTCAGCCCGGGACGCACCGGGGAGTCGCCACTGTCGCAGCCGCCCGCGCCCCTCGGCTGCTGCGCGGAGCCTCCGCCTCTCCGTTAGGGGGGAGGGGTCTCCTAGCCCCGGAGCGGGGGCGGGCGCCGGGACCTCGCCTACCTGCGGTGGCGCCGGGACACTACCGCCGGCCGGAGAGAGCTCTGCGCAGCCACTCGCCGCGCGCGCTCCGGCGGGGAGCAGGCGACAACTAATGGAGACATTTCCAGGCGGAGCACCTGGCGAGCAGAGCGCGCCGGCGTCCCCAGGCGCCGCGGTCGTCAGTCGAGCCCGCACCGGCGTGACGTGGGCGAGCGAGCGAGCTGCTCCCACCCGGCCTCCCATTAACGCTTTCCCCCGCGGGCGCCGCGCACTTGCCAACTTTCCCCTCCGCGGCCTGCGCTCTGGGTACGCGAGGTGTAGGAGCTGGGATGAGTGCCCTGGGGGTTGAGGTGGCAGGGACACCCAGACCAGAGAGGACACCGAGCATAGCAGCACAGCAGGAAGGCACGCCGCCTCGATTTAGCCGAACGTTCTGCCGGCTGTACCACTCCAGGGGGCCTTGGGCTGCTCTGGGGCCCTCGGGGCGTTCTTTCCCGTGCACTGGTTGTCAGGCCTAGGGCTGCGGGATCGGAGGAACCGCACCCCCGCACAGCCTCCCTCCTTCTTGGCTGCAGTTTCCCAGAGTTCCCCTTGACCCTGGCATCCCAGCCCTGGAGGTCAGGTTGAGGGCTCCTGAGGCCTGCTTCTCCTCCGAATAGGCTGGGGTGTCCTGTCCTGGCTGTCAGGCCCTTCCCTTCCTTTCCTGCTCCCCTTCACTACCCCTCCCCCCCAATCTCATCCTATGAAGGGACCCCACTTGGTGGTATCCCCACTGGTCTCCACCCGCTGGGCTCTTGGGGGCAGCAGGCAGGGCA